ATATTAGAAACTATAAAAACTATAAAACTATAAAACTACACTACTTCTAATACTCTAGCCCTAGTATACTAGTCGGGTGTCTATCCTAGTATTTAGGTATTTAGGAAAGAAAAACTATATAAAATAAAGAATTAATTAATAGTAAAAGATAATAAATAACCGTAAATATAATAGCTATAAGGGCTAAGAAGGTTAAGGTTCTATATTTCTAGAAAGGCTTTAAAAAGCTAGTTATATAATTATATAGCACGTGATATATCACATGCTACGGCACGTGACTAGAGGGCACGTTCACGTTACTAGCTAAATTAAGCTACGATATATAGCTAAATTCCTTTATATACTATAATATGCGGCTAAATTCCTCTATATACTATAATATACGGCTGAATTCCTCTATACACTAGCTTAAGCTTAAATTTATAGTTAGTTTTTTTAGTACTAGCTTATTAAATTCTATTTAATATTTATAATTATTAAAAGCTATAATAATATAGGATATTATTATATTAAAGCTATTAACTTTTATTAACTTTAATAAATTTACTTATAAATCTTTTTATAAAGGTAATATTATTTACTTTACCTTAAGCTTATAAATTCTTAAAAATTATTTATTAAAAAGATTTAAAAGTCACGTTTTTATAATAAAAAAAAGGTTAAAATTATTAAATTTAATAATATTATATTATTATAAAAAGATAGCTTAAGTAACTATAACCTTAATTTTTATTATATATTAAGCAATTATTTTAAGGTATTTTTATAATAATTCTTACGTTATTAGGCTAATATATATAAATCTATATAATAGAGTGTAGCAGTTAAGGGGTGCATTTTAATTAGGCTTAGTACCGCACGAATAACGGTTTTCTGCCGCACAAATAGCACAACCCCTTTTAAGATAGAATGGGACCGGCAATTTATCCGAAGTTGATCCAGAGGCTGGCTCCCTCCAAAGATGTCACCCCACCATGTGAACAAAGTTGGGCGGGCAGTGTTGACAACTGCGCATGAAACCATCGTCTGCGATGCGATGGAGCCAACACAAGATCTGGCAGATCAAATACGACGAGAAATAATAACAAATGGATACTTCTGTCAAGAAGACCAAATACTAGGTGAGCGTTTGGCGAAGATGGACCAGGATGATATCCCGTTCGCTTCCGCTGAAGGACTCCGATTTTGCAAAACAGCCGTCCTGGATGACTCTGTAAGTTCTCTAATAACCACCTATATATTCCGAATGCTGAATATTATAGCGTATTCGCTCTGTTTTGAAGTCTTTCTTCAAGTGGTCTGGGCTAGGTTTGTACAGGTCGATTGGAGCCCGGCCTGGGGCCTATGCCTTCATGCAGAGCGACCCGGACGCAGAGGTGGAAGGTCTACTCGTTCGTCTGGCAACGAAGGGATCCAAGGCTACCTTTTGGAGAGGTTCACATCGTTGTCAATGGCCTAGCACCATCGGGGAAAATAATCTGTGGTTCGTCCCTCGCGCGGCACTCGCGAAGCTCCGTTTGTTCGGAGTCGAACCTGTTACATGCATATTCGAACACGGTGGTTTGTGAGTCATGCGTCCCTTGCGGACTCTTTTGCAATACTAAAGTTTATTAGGATTATTATAGATCCTCGTGTTCCAACAGAAATCATGGAGGGAGAAACTACAACTTTTGGGTTTGGGACAAAGGAGGTCCTCGAGGGAAGCTGGAAGCCGATGAAAATACCCAAGACGGATGACATTGAAGAAGTTATATCTATTATGGAATCATCCGATTTTGGAATCAACAAGGAATATATAGAACCACAACGCAAGCGATAAGTCAAAACGGCACCTGCATTCCACCAAGTAAAGGGTCATGTACTACTGAAGGTTGACTATGATTTCTCGTAATGCTTGAGCTTTCGACGGGGTAATTCTGCGATGCATCGAGAGTGGCAGAATAGTCTGGCAGAGAAGATGAGTGCAAATAGCTTGGCGTTATGGTAACGTCGCCAAACATTGGTGCCCATTGTGTGCTTTGTCTTGGTCTTTCATCCACATCTCGGATTGTTGGCATCCCGGGGTTGTTGGCAAAACCGTGAACCGAGTTTACAGGCAACTGCATTGCCAGTTCTCCATTTAAAGATTCTGTCGCCATGAATGGCATTTGCCACTGTGCATTTCCAGCCACCAGCATGGGGACCTGTCTCTTCACAACGGGCTCGTCAGATAGGCTTTGGTCTGTGTCCGCGCGCGTTCGCTTTTTTAATACTTCCTGATCATTTTTTTGACGCAGCATCTTGTCGAGTTTTCTATTAGAATGAGGACTCAACTGTGATCGCCGCTCTTTAATATAAAACAGCTTCGCCTCGTCCGCATTGTTTTGTATGCGGCATGAATGCCTCATATACTTTTGAACTCGGGAGAGCGGGGTACGGCAGAATACACACAATTCTTGGCACCAAACATCTGCTTCAGGTTTTAATGACAGCTCAACAGTAGAATATGCCAAACTTACGCGATTGGAAGTGCCGCTGCAGAGCCAAACGATCCTTGAAACTGATATTACTTTTCGTCTTGTTGCATTTCCGGTGAGGGCATGTGAGAAATGATTGTTCGATTCGGCACCTATCAGTACCGAAGTCGAAGCCGTTTTCGTCATCGTCGCCGATTTTATCGTGGTCGTCGTTCTCATCATCTTCGTCACTGCCTTCACTACTGTTCTCATTTGCTGCATGGCTATCTTCACGGCCCTTATGGCTCTTTTGGGTGCTCCATGGGTCTAGAGTTGGTGTAAGATGCATTTGAACTTCCATCATTCTCGCAGCCAGCCATTGTCCTTCGCGCTGTGCATTGAAGGGTCAGATGGTGTTTTACAAAAGCTGTATTCGCTCTTACTTGAAAGTCCCCCACGTGCTCTCGTAAATCCTGTTCGGTATTGGAAGAAATAAAACACGTCTGACAACGTGGCTGTGTTCCATGTTTGCAACCTTTCTTAATGATTTTAGGTTTTACGAAGACAAACTTGTTTTGGCGGGACATCCTCACTCACTAGCTTTCATTTATAGTATTATAAATTATTATTTAAGCTAATAGCTCGTAATATAATCTTAATTTCTATAGGTGCTTTATAGAAGTCTCGTAAGTTAAAATCTTGCGGTTATAAATTAATCTAACAGGCAATCTATCACATACGACCATAGCCGCCAGCAGAACTCACGATCCCGTCAAGCTCTTCCCCGGGGTTCTAATGCCTCCAGATATGGAGGAGTGTGCCTCCAAAAATGGCGGATCCAGAGTGGACGAATGTCAGGGCCCACACAGGCACTCCCCAGTTAGCTCTTCCACTATAATCAGGCTATTGACTAATAAATCACCTCGGTGCTCTTTTATCTCCCTTGCAATGAATACAACTTCTTAGCTACCGGACATCACGAGCTCTTGTGACCTTGCTGTAGATCCCTTCGCGCGGTACCTCACGACGAACCCTCAAGTCCGGTGTACGCGTTTTTTTACCCCGGTAACGCTTTTCACATTGCCTTGGGGAATTATACTAAAAAAATTTTTAAGGATAAATAAGTAGTTGCCGTGGCTTGCCAGCAGGAGTTGCGCTCTGTTCGTAACGGAATGCATTGGAATTCAGTTCGACTGGATGGAAAAATATACCCCGTCCGGTCTGTTGACACAGGACTCATATACTAATCAGCAGCCCTCTTGATAATTTTCAGGATCAAGGATTCCTTTGCGTTGGTGATCTGGGGTGCTTGCAAGGCTTTTAGCTCTCATCTCAGAGAGTTGGGGACCGGTTCTTCTACTCACTATTTAAAGAGCGAGAATATCAAGGTTGTCTTATTCGGGGAAATAAACAGGTTATGAATAGGATACCAGAATGTTTATTAAGCTACTTTTAAAGCGAGGAGGCCGAGCATGTATCCTACTTGTCCATCCAAAAAGCCCTAGCATAATTAATTAATTAATGGTAATAAGCCTATCCGGCCGTAACAGTTTTTCCTACGCCTGGAGCGCCCTTTATTTTCTCTCTTGTATGCCAACCATTCAGGGATGGCTCTCCCAATCTTGTTATTTTAAGCAATTCAGACGCAAGTTGTCGCGTCCCCGCGTCCTCGGGCTACAACCCGCATGAGGGCACATTGCAGCACCCTCTGGAAATGGAAGTGCCGCATTAGTGGTAGGGCAAGTCGTCGGGACAGATGTATCTGTGATGGGGTTGGAGTATGAGGCAGCACCCTCCGAAGGATCAAACACAAAAGACCCTTGGCAGATTTTCCACGGAAGCAAAGCTCATCGCGTCCCAATAACCGAAACATCTACTACGGCATGCTCCTTGATCAGGCGGTCGGAAACATTGTGACAAGACGGCCCTGACAAGAAACATGAAAGAGCGTTGGCATAGAGAGAGGTGCTGTTCAGGGGAGATGAGGATTACATAGTCACTTCTCGGAGCTTACATGCGCCAACATTTGAAAAGCTGCGAGGTGGAACATACTAAGCTGACATGAATGAGGTATTCTTAACGTCTCTCATCCACAGCGTGATCCATTGAGCTGTCTGAGGCCTACACTTTGCTCCTGTTCTCGTGGTTGCCCTGAAGGCGCGAGACCTGTTAACAGTGGAATCATGTATGCCATATTCTCTAAATGAGTCTCGGATAACTCAGAGTCGTGCTCTGTAGTGCCTGCTCTCGGAATATATACCAAGCCGCCGTCACTATCAGAATCAAATACCTTCGACGCCATCCTCGCCCACCCACGTATCCCACACTTTAATGTGTGTTGAATAATCTAAAGTCTCTCCAAGAACATTCCTCAGATGGATCTAGTATTAATTCTCCTAGAAATGTCCAAGTCTCGAAAACCATCTTGCCGGCGCTGCCAATTCTTGCATCTCTGAGACGGTAAGGCAACGTGGCGGCGTGAGGACAAATCGGCAAGAGGCAGAAGGTGAAGGCCAGCGGCAGATGAACATGTACTTGGTGGACTGGGAGAAACAAATGAGAGGCAGGAAGTGAGAAAGCGTACATGTAGGGTCTTTGCCTGGCTGTACAAAGAGATCTGCCATTTCAAGCTGTTTCCATACAAGAAGTCGGTGCGTGCTAGAGGCCCGAGGCAGCCCTCGCTTATAGTCCGACCTCGGGCTCCGTGTGTAACCGTTGTTGGCCAACGCCTTTGTTGTGGCCGAGCCGTGTGACAAAGGTCGCCTGGTAACTACTCTTCATCTCTTCCCAACGCCAGGCTGGAGTACAGTTAAAGCTCCCAAAGCAGGTGGACACATTTCCGATTGTCTTGGCATTGGGGCGATTAGCTTCTCGAATCCGATTTGTGCATGGCGGCCAGCAAAGGAAAGGAGGAGGCTGCATGCAACTCTATACAAATTCAGAACGGACGGATTCAGTAGCCGGGCATGCTAGGTATTCGGTTGTTGTCAAGTGCGTCGAACAGTCTGGTTGGTTACTTTTGCGACTTCGAGTCTAGCCTATCCATTAATTGATCCTTTGGCGCCAAAAGGTTCAGTCAAGCCAGTCCCACTTGTCAATACTTGATAGCAGCAAGGCGCTGCTTGCACCGCTTGGTACATGGCACCCTTGAGGGACTCGCCAAAGACAGAGACTGCTGCAGAAAGTGGCATCAACTCTGCCGAATCTGGCGATAGGATCAGACGGTCCCGCCGAATAAATGGGAAGTGGCGGCACGAGTGATTAATTTGAGTCCATTTGATCCGGCGTATTGCATAAACGACGACGCTCTTGAGATTATACATTGATAGTAGGGAGCGCTATGCCGTTCGATATATACTCTAAACACCCATTCCTTTAGCTGTGGGCTGATAATTGTATAATGTATTAACTTGTATAGTATATACATATAGATATATATATATATATCAAATGTAGTCTTGTTCCTCAGGTTACACATGAAGTTCCTCAGGTTACACATGAATAGATGGTAGTTGATCAATGTTACTCCAACTATATGTCATTGTCACAAGCAAAGCCACCAAGCACAAATACACCTACACACTACCACTAAAACATACACATCCCTTCATTCCACCAAGCAAACCTTCAACGCCCTCAATCAACTCCAACTCCCAACTCGTGCAGTCATGTTCCACGTGGCTCTTGCAGTGGCACTAGCAGCATCAGCAGTTCAAACTGCGACCGCGGCGCCAATAGTCAATGGCGAAGCGGCCAACATGAACGAAACGCCCGGCATCGTGTCTATACAGACAAGTAATGGCACACATTGGTGTGGCGGGACGCTATTGAACCCAGACACTCTTCTCACTGCCGCCCATTGCCCCCCAACCCTTGCGGTAATTCGAGTCCGTGCAGGATCGCTGGTAAGTTTTTCACAAGCTGTACTCACCGCCATCAAGCTCAGCCGTCAAAGTGACGGGCTAACGATGGTGCAGAACCGTCTCTCTGGCGGCACTCTAGTCAGCGTGGCATCTGTCCAGCCTCACCCCGATTACAACCCTCGCAACTCGGACAATGACATTGCCGTGTGGAAACTGGCCGTCCCCTTTGCGGCGAACTCAACCATTCGCTACGCCAAGTTGCCAGAGCAGCACGACGACCCGGCCGCCTACAAACCCACCGTGACTGTCGCCGGTTGGTACGTATCAAACCAACTATTGAGAAAAACCAAGTCCTTTTGTCGCACCACATTCTTACATCCAGTCTAGGGGAAAGCTGGACTCGGCAGACACTGGCTATCCCGAGCTGTTGCGCAGAGTATCCGTCCCGGTTGTAGACCGCGACGTCTGCGCAAGTGTGTACTCGGACAACAGCCGCTATCCTCGGCAAGACGACGTGTTCTGCGCAGGCCCCGACGAGGGCGGCAAGGACGCCTGCCAGGGAGACAGCGGCGGCCCAGCCTTTGAAGCAGGCACGGGGGTCTTGGTTGGTGTGACGATTGGCGGCTTGGGTTGTGCCAGAGCCGGCTATTATGGTGTCTACACGAGAGTAGGCAAATACGTCGACTTTATAAAGAGACACATGTAGACTACGCGCACAGCCAATTCCAGCTGAGATATGAAAAAAAAGGTCAACGCCGGATATCACTCTTCTACGCTTCCAAAAGACAAGAACCAAAGTACCCGTTCCGAACCCGTTCCCAAAAACCATTCCCGTGTACCAATCAAGTCCACGTCCAGTCCACGTGATTCGTAAAAGTCATGACCGCCCAGAAAAACACCATCAAGTATCGCGTATCAGCCCGGCCGCAAACGCCTCGACGCTCTCCGTCATCAGATCCAGCACGCCGTCCTCGCCCCAAAAGTGCCCAGCGGAGGCGACTTCGCGGGCGGCAAACAGCGAGCCCTGCCCGGCCAGCCTGGCCACCCACGCGCGCAGCCTGCCCACCGGCACAAAGACGTCATTGTCGCCAAAGACGGCGAGCGTCGCATTCTCGGTGAGCTTCTTCTCCTCGGCATCGTCGTGGCGGCGCCTCAGGCGCGACGGCTGCAACGACATGGTCGCCAGGTGCGTGACGAGTCCCTGCAGGGGCGACACGAGCAGATACGCCGGCCGCGGACGCAGCAGCCCCGTGACGGCGGGGAGCGGGCCTCCCCGCCCG